CCCACCCCCGTGGTTTTATAACTCCTGGGGAATGCTGAGCATTTTGTTTCATTGCAGCGGTAGTACAGGCTTTTCGGGACCTGGTTTGGCTGTGTCCCCAGTGCACGGATGCCGTGTGTCGGGCACTGCCTAGCTGTGAGGACGCCATCCAGGACAGTGAGGTAAGGTGGCTTTGTGCCTTGGGCTGGCAGCTGTTGAGGATGGGTGGACAATGACTCTTTGGCTTTCCTTTAGCTTGTGATTGGCGGGCAAAGATCAGAAATCTTCAGAAGACTTGTTCTCTCTTATCTGTTTATTTCACGTTGCGCTGTCTTTCTGGTAAACAGCGCCTATTTGCTATTTTTTCTGTGGTTCCTTCAGGGCAAGCAAGCACTGATCTGGCTCCTGGGCGCACATGGTGAGAAAGTACCGAATGCCCCCTATGTTTTAGAGGACTTTGTGGAGAACATGAAATCGGAGATGTTCCCAGCAGTGAAGATGGAGCTTCTGACAGCATTGGTGCGACTTTTCCTGTCTCGTCCTGCTGAGTGTCAGGACATGCTAGGGAGACTGCTCTATTACTGCATAGGTGGGTTCCCTTCACCCTGTTTCACTGAAGCTGTAGTACAGGCTTTTTGGGACCTGGTTTGGCTGTGTCCCCAGTGCATGGATGCTGTGTGTTGGCATCCTAGCTGTGAGGAGACCATCCAGGATGGCAAGATAAGGTGGCTTTATGCCTTAGGCTGCTACTCGGCCCCTAGCTGTCTGGTTGGTGAGTGTAACAGGCTTACACTGTATCCCTGGGAATCTGTTTTTAGTAATTAAGGGTTATTCAGGGGAATCTGGATGATAGAATTCTCCATAGATTATGTCCCTCTAATTTCCAGAGGAGGAGATGGATATGGCAGTACGAGACCGTGGATTGTTCTACTATCGCCTTTTGCAGTCCGGTGTGGAAGAAGTGAAACGGGTCCTGTGTAGCCCCAAGTCTGACCCCTCTCTGGGGCTCCTGGAAGACCAAAATGAGCGACCCGTGAATACATGGGCTTCAGAGTTTAATACTCTTGCACCAGTTTATGGCAGAGAACGCTGGGCACTCGTCACTGCTCACCAGCCAGCAGAACCCTCTTACGCTTGTTCTCCTTGTACTGACTCCAGGAACAGAGGCGCAGGTAACCCGCCTCACCTTCATCTGGGATCTGTTTTCCCCTTGTCGGTAGATCTTTTCATGTGGGTTTCTTTGGAAGAAGATCACGGTGCTTTGAGAATGCTGTCTTAGTGTTCTGTCTGTCTTGTGCAATGCATGGCTGATCACAACTGAAGGCACTGTGATTCCAGCCGTCTTCATCTGATGGCTCCATAAAGTGTTCTCTGTGAAATTGGGAGCTGCACCTTATATGCTGCATCTCACATGTTTGTGGTTTCATTTCAGAGTCACTGATTTCTGAAGGGGATAAAGAAGTCCTCAAGGTTCATCCTGATACAGGCAGCCTGACCTTAATTCCTGATGTTTACCTGACTGCAGAACAGTTTGAGAAGACCTGGCTGAGCTTGGACATGAGCTGCCACCTCTCTCTGCCCTGGTGTGGGACTGTTCATCCAGATACCATACAGACGGCTCTTCATGTTGTCCACATCCAGACTATTGCTATGAGCAAAGCTGGCCTCCAGCCGTGGAAAGCTTATCTCAGTGCTCAGGATGACACAGGTTGCCTCTTCCTAACAGAGCTCTTGCTTGAGGCGGCAGATTCGGAGATGCAGGTTTCAGTGAAGCAGAGTGAGGCAAAGCCGGAGGCACTGCAAACCTTTATTTCGGCATTGAGGACGGTCATGGGGACGGTTGCCGGACTGGGGTCCTGATTGTTCCCTGCTCCCGGTAGGATGCTTGCTCAGGGCACAGGAAAAGTTTCTTTCTCTGGCTTCGTTTGCCATACTTGATGCTGGTTTTGTACTTCTAAACTGTGGGAGTGTAGCAGCCCTTTCCTGGAGCAGAGCTGGGCCTAGCAAGCATATGTGGTGTGGGGGATTGCTGCAGCTGGTGAATGGGGCAGCGTGAAGGGTCTGTCCTCGCTCTGGGCTGGGGAAGGGATAAGGTAATGCATTCGTGAGCCTGCTGCTTCTGGAGTCACGGAAGTGGTGGCATCTATGGTGGTTGTCACAAGAGACTAACATGACTGATGGAACCAGAAATGAGCAAAATTCAGCAATGTGATTTGGAGAGTTTTTTTCATGAGGATTGTAGATAATTCAAAAAACAGTTCAGAGACCCCAGGACTCTGCTACTTATTTCACATTAAGAGGAACAGCACAGTGAAGAGAGAAATGTTTAGTTCTTGGCTCCCTTTACATGTGATTTAGTTTTCTGTCCGATAGATGGATTTTGATAGTAGCTTCGCTTACGGGGAATCGGAGCTCTGCTGTGTCAGAGATGGGTGGACAGGGTACATCATGCTCACTAGAAACAGTATGTTTCTTTTTCAAGAGAAAGAAGTGTATTTTGCAGTTGAAATGTGTTACTGTAATCATAGAATCGCGCTCTCTGAATTTCCCTCCTCAGGGCTACTGTAAGGAAATGCAGGAGTGTGCAGGTTGTGTATGATGTGTTTCCATGAGTTAATACGGTGTGAGTTTTGTAGCCTGCATCACTTTGGCCATGTCAGTGAGCTGTCAGTCCTTGGTAGTGTAGTGGTTTAACCCAGCAGGCAGCCAAACACCACACAGCTGCTCGCTCACTCCTCCCCCTGCAGTAGGATGGGGAAAGAATCGGAAAAAAGAAAAGTAAAATTTGTGGATT